ATATATATTTATTCAGCTTCCTGAAATTATTTTAGAACATAATAACATTAGATACTGCAGAGACAATGAGTAGAAGGGTTTATTATGTATTTCCTGGAGATCAACCAGCAGAACAGCAAGGCAAATTCACAGCATATATTGACCTGAAGGTCACAGAAGTGCTCACAACTGACACATAGCACTGAAGGTCCTTCTCTCCATCCTGCAGACTTCCCATTTTTTTTTCACAACAGGAAGATGGCTTTATAAATTGCAAGGCAGCTTGTCAAGTGAGAAGTAAAGGTCATCTTACCAGTGTTTTTATTTTTAAGAGGATTTTGAGATTTATTTTTAATTGCTGGTAGACTGTCAACACATAAATAAAGAGACAGCAGATGTTCTCCACAGATTCCTTGCCCAGGGAGCATAAACTTAGCTATTGGCCAGGAATGCCAGAAAATATTTTTGGAGTTATAGTTGTATAAATAGGCTAAAATCCTGGAAGAAAGGTTGTATTTCTGATTTTAACCTCACCTTGCTGTTCTGGGCAATTTATAGACCCATCTCCAATTAAGGATGCAAACAAACAAAACCAGGAACAATCTTCTTTGGCAAAGCCATTACAATATAAAGTTAGTGTGAAAATAAAAACTGGGTCTATCTGGATTGCAATTACCCAGCTTTCTCAGAATTTATCTGTTCCTCTTTTGCCTCAATCCCCAGTGGTGTGACTACATGTCCAAAATTATCCACAACTTATTAAACCAACAGTCTGTTCAGACCACTACTGATATGTTGGGCAGACCAAGTTCTAACCTCTGAAGCACCTCATTTGGCCATACCCTTCTAATTCAACAAACTACAATTCATACAAAGAATTCAGTAAGTAGCAATGTGTTGAAAGTCTCTGAGATGTGAAGTGCTATATATCTATAGGTGTAGATCTTTTGTTTCTAATGCAAAATAGACTATGAAAAATGAAGAAGTAAAAATGATCTATGGGCATAAGTCTTTGCCAATCCCTTACCCTTCAGTCCCCCACAAATCAGCTCATATCTCTTTCTCTGCTTTATATGAGTAAAAGACAAGCCAAAGGCTGAAGATAAGATGCACTGGTTCTGTCTCTCTCATTTTAAATAAAATAGTATTTCTTCCCTTTCACCATCTTAACAAAGGACTCACTTATGACACTTGCTTAATATTTCTTTTCCCTAACTTCCCTCCTGAGTTAAATTCTGCATCTTCCTTTAATTTTTATGTGTTTATGCACTTCTGGTCTCATTCCTTTCCTGTTAAAATTGCTAATGGATTTATGACCTTAGTCACTTAAGTCATCAGTTGCTGTTCCTCTCTCCATCCATGCCACAACAGGTCCTTCACTTTTTTCCCCTCCCTAGTTTCCTTCTCCAAGCCTTTTTGGAAAGGATTACTGCCCAAACAATCAACAGCGTCTCAGACAGAGAGAGGTGCAAAGGTGAAACACTAAGTCCTCTTCAGAATTCTACATCAGATGTAATAATCAATAAGGACCCCTCCAAACAAACCCACACCCAAAACATTAGAATAATCTTCTCACATGCAACACTGCAGCATAAAGGTATATGGCACATAGTCCAGACTGGTTACCTGAGTCTTCACTGTCATAGCAAGTCCTGCTATATTGCTGTAAATCCACTTGAGGGGGCAGGTCTTGTGTTGACACTGGAGTTCCTCTTGGATCTGCATACAGTAGCAGCAAAGGCTGATAGTGACCCTTAATGCACTTTGTCACAACATCTTTCCATTTTGGACCAATCTGAAGCAACAGCAACAATTATAAAAAAATTGCACAAGAGAGATTAATTGTCATCATTTTCTATAAGCAGCTCTTTTTCCCCACATGCTTCTTTCAGTGTTTGATTTTCCACTGATACACTTTAACTCCTTCTAGATCCAGCACTGAACTGGATTCACTGAGAAAGCTCTGCAATCCATCCAGCTAAAATCAAGGTATTTGCTACCTTAGGTCTACACAAATTACCATTCCTGCCAAATATATATGACTGCAAAAATAATCCTCCTCTTGCAGATTTTTTTTCCCCTCCCATAAAAAGTTTTTCATCCTATGAAACAGTGGTGGTTTTTTTTTGTTTTGTTTGTTTGTTTTTTCCTGATGCAAATTTGTTAACAAGATGTCTTCATTCATCCATCCATCAGCATGAACAAAATGAACACTAAAAGACATCAACAACATGACAGCAAAATCAAGACAAAGCTACCCATCGGAACCTCTCCATTTTTATAGGCCAGGAAATAATTAATGTCATTATACTGAACACAGAAATCTTCCCCACGTACTAATACAGGTTTCTCCTAGTGCACTGAATATCTGTTCCAACAAATTTGCTCCATACACAAGTTTTCTACTAAAACAGTGCAGTACCTAATCTTGGCAAAGTTTTGCTGCAGAGAAATGTGACTGAACAAATGCAAGGATTAGAGTTTTCCCTTTGAGACTGTGCTTGGCATGACTACAGGATAAAGTTTTCCTCTCATTTCTATGCTTCCATGACTAGGAGGCATAAAAGTAGAATGGTGTGAGTTAATGCCAAACAAACAAATGGGATGTAATAACAGTGTGCCAAGACCCCAGCGCTGGTATCTTTAATGTCAAGGACCTCATAGTTGGTGAAAGGGGGGAACAAAGCAGCACTAACAGAAGAAGCAGAAAACCTGCTGCTGGCAGCAGCCACTAGGGAAGACTAGCATTTAAATATTTCAAAGAACCTAAAAAGCAGGCACTGAATAGCTATACTGCTTGTCAGCAGGAGAAAGATGTACGTTAGCCATGTGCACAAGCAAACTGTAGGTTTTCAAACAACAGCATAAAACCAAGACTTGCAGCCAACAGAGAAGGACTAAGAATACAGCTTCTGAGACTTCTGGTAGCTTTTTTTGAGAATGTTTTAGTCTGCTCAGAAAAAGAAGCAAGACAGTTATGGATCTTGAGTGGAGAAACAGCCAAAATTTCTTGAAATCTGAAGAAAACAGTATGGATCTACGCACACGTAGCTAACAAATGTCTAGTAGGTTATTTTTCTAAACTTTATTTGCTCACCTCTTTGACATGAGCATCATCGAAGTACATCCACTTGCGGATTTTAGTTTGGAAGAAGAAGGTAGAATAGTGTTTTCCATAGTAACAGATCATTCCCACTAAATACAGCTCTGAGTGTTTTGCTCTGTCATCAGTTACTCTGAAGAAGAGCTTCAAGAAGGGAAGTAAAATTAAAGTAGACATTAATAAAATGCCCAGAATTTTACATACTGCTTCATATTTGAAGATCTCAAAATACTATAGAGAGGCATCACAATTTTACTTCAAAAGATAGAGGAAAAAAAAGCAATAAATACTTAAGTAATTAACCCATGTTTAAGCAAACCCAGTGACATAGGCCAGGAACAGACTCCTACCAACTCAGCAGATGCTCAAGCATCAAGTCAGTCTTGGAGGCTGTGGCTGTACTTTAAGGAAGACATTTAGAACAATGATATAATACCTTTTCAGAATCAGAAGTGTGATTCTATTTTGAAAATGTGTATTCTCTGTGTCACGCAGGTTGATTTTATCAAATAATGTTTAAAGCATTCATTACTCTTTGCTTTGTAGAAACAAAGTGATTCTGACTGTGAATGGTTGGCATTTATTCTGACTTAAGCAAAGACAAATTTAGGACAATACCACAAAAAAAATGAACATAAAACAGTAGGTCAAAAGAATTCAGCACACAGAAAAAATGAAAATGTTTTCTGACCATAAAATTGACCATGTTTTATTTAAAAATAATTTTTTACTGTGTTGTTGCCTTACTGTGCAAGGGTTGCACTGTTTCATAACCATGTTTCCATTAATTGCCCCTGATTTTGGTACACTGTGCAATGCATTTTTTTTAAAAATATGTGTGTATATATAAAAAATATTTTAATGTAATACCTCAATATTATGATAAGACACAGCCACAATTTGATATACCAATAATTCAACTCTAAAGCATCATCTAATGCAGAACAAATGAATACTCTAGGGGGCAAACCTCCTTATCCCAAACGCTACTTAATTTTATCTATCATTCAATCACAGAGTTCCCAGCCACCATCTCTCAGTGACTGCTCAGCTATAAATAACACTTAAGTGTTATGACCTCACACTTCAATGAAAAGAGGATTTAAGTTAAAAAGCAGCCAGAAGAAAACCAAAATACATTTTTTTTTTCAAAAGAAATAAACTTCTGGTCTTCAAAGTGAGGGAGTATATATGTATTTTCACAGAAATAGCACAAAATTTCCTTGCACTTGAACATTTTTTTGGATTTTGACAAGTTTTGTTTTCTGGAGTAATTTTTAATTTTCAGTCATTTCAGGAACATGCAATTACAACAGTACTTTCACAGGTTTTGTGAAACATTCAGAAACAGGTCAGATTCTTTGATCTGCCCTCTATTCCTCTATTTATGGAAACCAAAAAAGCTAATGGTGGTGACACTTTTTTTCAATCTGCTACTACAGACTACCATGACAAAGACTGTTTGTAGGTAGTGCCAAAATACAAAAAACTCACATCTCCCAGTTTAAGGCAAGTGCCCAGACTGTGAATCACATCCTCAGCCAGATCAGAGTGGTCTGAGTCCCAAACCAAGCCAATAGTGATGATCTGTGGAGAGTTCATCAGCACACGGCGAATACGGATCTTTTCCCCACAGTTACTCTGAGGATTTAAATAAAACAAAATATTGAACATAATCCTCCTCTTACTATAATGTTAAAGCACGGCACTAACAAACATAAATTTCAAAAGTACAGCTTTCAAAGTGGTGGTGGTAAAACACAGCAGATCATATATGCCCAGTGTCAAGATACAAGCTTCAAAGTCATAGATGAGGAGCATTATGAAGACTGTCTGGTACCTGCAAGCTTTCAAGTGAATGCTGCTGATTCCTCCTCATACTACTGATAATGATTAAAAGGTACAGCTTAAAAGTAGGCTTATTTAAAAAAAGATAATCAAGCATACATGAAAGATACCCTAAACATTCTTAGGAACTGGAAGGAAAGCTCACTTTCTTTTAAACAGAATCTCAGTTCAAAACATGAACTCCTTCATACAAAGACTGATGCCTTATGACAGTGTCAGAAAAACCTTCAAGACGCTGCTCTGCTGTTAAAAATGGGGTGGTTGGTACTTCAAGCATCTCATCTTAAACAGGACAGTTAGCTCAGTATTCATATAAATACGAGAGCAGCAGCTGGAAGAGGAGGAGGAGAAGAGGTGCTTTACTAACCTAGAGCAGTTCTTCATTTCTTATTTCCTGTTTCTCTCCCACCTCCCACTTTTTATTTTTTAAACAACTACCAGTGCTTATTGACTGGTGAGTCTCCTCACTCTCTAGTCAGAGTACTTCTCAGAGATAAGCTTGCTTGTGAAGCTAAGGCTTTTTCAATTGGGCCTTCCAAACCATGACGTGTTGGAATTGTGGGCATCTTTAAAGCATCATGAAAGATCACCATCTGAATTCAGAGATTATCACTGTAATTTTAACAAGCAGTATATTACATTATCTTTTGGGTGGGAGGAGAGGACAACTATGACAAACTGCCTTTGCAATACTCACTTTCCCCTTGTGACAGGTCACAAAGGTACCTCTGCAAAATTCCAGGAGAGGGAAAAAAAAAAATAAAAAAATAACAGCACAAAAAAACCCCACACACCAGACAAAAAACCTTTTCATAGTGAGAATAGCTTCTCATCTCTACAGAGACCAGTTTCACAACTGGATATAATAATTTTGGACACTACAACCAGGGAAGAGATTATAAAAACATTTCTTCCCCACAGCAATCTAGAAAATTAATCAGAATTTCAGTCCCCATTATCAACAAGACAAAAATGAAAAATTAAGAAAATAGAAATAAATGAGCTTAACAACAAGGCAATCAAGACAGACTTTTTTTTTTAACAGGTCCAGGACTGTTATGTTTAAATGTAGATATGAAGTGTTTACATTAAGATGATAATATTCACATGGATTTTACAAGGGTCATTCAAACTATGCATTCCTGCAGA